GTGTGCACGCATAATTTGACGGTTATTCATGATCGAATGAGCATGAGGAATGTGGTTTAGCGGTTGAGCGTCCCCATCTTTATCTTCTTCAGCGAATGAACTGAGTGATTTAGTCCAATTGGCGAGCGGAATGAATACCAGAATCGATAAATGACGGAAATGAAAGTCCGAGGGGGGGGGGGATTTTAATCTACGATATGGAGATTTTTAAAACTGCACAGTCCTGGATAGAATGATATTCTCGGGGTCCCACGCGGGGCCCGTCTCTGCGCATTTTTTTTTCGCGAAGAGTGGGGGCACCGAGACGGGACTCGCGGCCGCTGCGCGGGGGTAGGGAGAACGCCCTTGATTCAGGCTCTTGCGGTTGGCGGGGGAGTGGGTCCGCGTGGCCTTGAGCCGGCATGTCTCGGTTTCGTACAGAGTCTCTCAATTCCCCCATCAGCTGCAGCTGAACACCCGAATAAAACGATTTATCGCGCGACCGCAGATGCGTGGGCGCATGAATTCGCTCTATTCCGATCGGAGTCACCGATTTTTCGTTAATTTAATCATTTTTTCCATGATTCACCGCGGCCCCTGGGAACGTCATTCAGGCCCCGGCCTGGGGCAATTTTTTTTTATCAACCTTGATAATTATCACGACGAATACTTGCAGCTGGATGAAGTCAGGTGGTTGAGAACCGATTTTCTCCCGTCGAGTTGTGTCTGCATGCAGCAGAAACGCGCGAGATCGGGTGGAGAGGAGAGAGAGAGAGAGAGAGAAGCAAATGGAGAAAATAAAAATCACAAAACGAATATCCAAGACGCTGGGCTGGAGAGTTGAGTCGGGTTATAAACCAAGCGAACCCCTCGTTCGTGCACTCGGATTGTACCCAGTGGATTTTTTTTCTCCCTTCTGCATATTTTTTTTTACTCCTCAATTTTATTTTCCACGGACTGCCGCACGGAGAAATGCACCGGAGAAAATGAAATATAAAAGCAAAATGAATAAATAAGAAAAATAAGACGGGGGTGAGAGAGGAGGGGGAGTTTAGTCGTCGACTCTGAAAGAAATAAAAGATTCCACGGAAGTTCCTTCCACTTGGCCTACTACTCCACTCCCAGGGTTCAAGGCGGCCGAGGGTGTGGGGAGCTTTTCTTTTTAGGTGTCCAGGTACACTTCCTCCTTCGGAACTTTGTTTTTCTTTATCGTTGGACTACTCTCGCCCGATTCAATTCGTCCGATCGGGGGAAACTATTTTCTCCTCTTGTTCTATTGGTTCTAGTCTACATTCAATTATTCAACTGTCCGGGGGAAATAACTGCATTTGTCGGAGGGTTTTTTAAAAATTTAAACAGCTCTCTTTGCTCCGGTTTTTGGTGCATCCGACGCCCAGACGAAATGAATCTACGCCAATGTTTAGTGCGACCTTCGAATCGGAGTCTGACCGTTTTGCGTCCCATGGCTCTCTCGAAGCGTCTCACCAAGTGGTGAAGGAACGTGCGAGGCAGAATGAGAAAGAGGAATGTAATGCTTAGATACTCAATGCATAAAGCAGAAACTTTCGGTGAAATTTCATCATTTCACTGAGTTCATCTGTTATTTTTTAGTTTTATTTTCATTTTTTGTAAAAGGGTGATGAGGAGCATTGTACTTACCTTCTGCATCGTTCACTCTTCGATATGGTTGACGTTTTTTTTAATTTATGAAAGAAAAAATTGAAAGAGCAATTGAGGCGAAAAATTACGAATTGAAAAAATTATTGAAAAAAAGTATTCGTTCGATCGTTAATGGTTATTAGCTGTTAATGAATGAGTTTTATTCAGTATCTAAATGGTATTTAGATGCAAATATTAATGAGGACGGGAATTTATTTAAATCGAAGAAATATTTTAGTAGCGAAGCGGTAAAACGGTTTAAGTAGGTTTTGACTGTTCGCCAGTTTTCAATGATATCTCGAAATCTAATGGAGATAGCGAAAATTTCATTATGACCTTTTTTGTAGAGCGAACTGAGGGCTCCAAAAAAGGTAATAACGAAAATTTCGCTATCTCCCCTAGATTCGGAGATATTTCTCGAAAACTCAATGTGAATTTTGAAAGTCTTTGGCTGATGAATAAATGCTTTTCTACTTTTGTAGTCGAACATCAGTGCTTTCATTTGAGCCCTATTTGACTCTAAATTTCCGGAGATTGAATTGAAATCTCGATTTGGAAAACATTTTGAAAATCTGAAAAAATTAAAAATTTTACTTTTGGAGGAAAATTTATGAAATAATTTTAAAATTGCAAAATTTTAAAATTACAAACATTTTATATAAATAATTTATGAACAATCAATTTGTTATTTTTAAAATCATTTGTTCGGACTCGTAACGAATTTATTGATATTCAGAATTTTCCCTGAAATCAATCACAATTATTTATTTATAACCAACAATTGTTGAAAAAATAATAATTCCGCGCAAAATTTTTCTCACGCAATTTAATTGCCAAATTTGATGATTAAAAATGGTTGAGTCTATGACCGTTTCACCTGTTCGCGGCTGATGTGCGTAAATTCAAATAAAACCGCAAATAGCAATCGCTGAAACCCAATTTTTCATTTTAAACCCTCATTTGTCTTCAATTTTTTCCTCGATGTATTGTGAATTTCGTCTGGACTCACGTGTGGCTCTAGTGTCTGTCCTGTGTCACTCATGAAATAAACAGGACGTATCATTTCCCGATGAAAATAAAGCAACAAATAAGGAATAAAGATCAAGAAAAACTGCACGCCTCTGCATCGTCCACATTTGCGAATTCTCTCTCCTATGAAAAACAAAAAACTGAATAAATGGTTAATAGGTAATTAATGCAGACAATTAAACAATAGTTTCATTTGCAGGACAATGTTTCCACCAGCCCTGATACACCGGGTGGCCGGAATGAAAAAAACTAAATAACAAATACAAAATAAAAATAATTGAAATAGAAGTGATCAAAGATATACCGTAATATCCAAATAGAGCGATGACAGTATATTGAAATAATAACAGAATGTTTTATATTTTTACACCGAACAAAACAGTATATTAAACGTACAATAAAATGAGAAGACAAAAAATTTTAATGAACAAAATAAAACAATGTCCTTCCAATCTCAACCTCAGATAAACAGATGTTACATTTATTATTTTTTCATCGATACCCACTTTCACTTCCGATACAAAAACTGGACTATACGGTATACTTAATGATTAAATAAATATTTAAAATAGAGATCTAACTGAGAATAAAAAAAAATCACATGAAAAGCAAAACAAATTTCTGCATTATTGAATTTAAAACTGATAATTGGCAGAGATAACATTTAAATAAAATACTTTTAATGTACTTAGATAATTCAAGTTATATTGTATGTTTATCAATTGATAATGAGGAAATGAAACACGTTTTTATACTATTAATTAATTGAAAATGAACAAAATGTATTATCAATGTTTTAATTAATGAAAAAAAAGGAAAAAAAAATTGACAATTACTGTCGTTTATTTGTCCATACCATGGCAATATCTATAAGCGCAATAAACCGTAAGATGATTCATCGAATTTCCATTATAAATAACATCATCATTCTCTAGTAAACATTATTGTAAGCTAAGGTGTCGAATCAAAAGAGCAACAGAGATCCAACAACTGGTGAAAATGGTACATAAATGAATATAAATACTATAAATACAAATATGAACATAAATATTATTGTAATTAACTAGGTACAATTAGTTGAAGTAGTTGAAGTGATATTTGTACGTATCGGACGGGGGGTAATATTGAATTTGAAAACGATAAATTGTAACTGGGCTGATGGATTTTTGACGTCATTCGACAATTTAGAGAATTATTCGACTCGTCAATGGACTTTTATCTCTCTCTCTCTCTCTCTCTCTCTCTCTCTCTCTCTCTCTCTCTCTCTCTCTCTGATGTCTGAGGAGACGGTGCGACTCGTGACATAAAGCTCATGTACCAGTCGAGCCAGTCGATTTCATATGGACTGAGTTGTCCCGCGTGAAAAATTCACTTGTAAAAATTTATTGGGCGAAGGTCATCAGCGATATTCAAAATTCATTCGATCGTCTTTTGACATCGATTGTCAAATTACATATGTAAATACAGTTTATATACGTTCATGTCCACATGAGGACGATCCATTCTGGCTGAGGTATTCCATTTAATCGTAAAAATGAATTTCACGATCTGAAGTGAATGGAGAGGGATTAGATCGACAGAGTGGGACCTTTTTATGTGGACATCAATATATATTATATATCTAGACCAAATAACGATATATTTATCGCTGTACATAAAAAAGAGTTTTTATGACGTCAACAGTCAGTCCATGTAATAAAAACAACCCTCACTGTCATGGGACAAATTGTTTTCTTATTCTTCCGTTTATTTAAAGTGACTTTTGGACTTTTATTTTCATCTCCGAAATACAAAGATTTGAGTCTGGGATTTCACTCCATTATCTGCCATTTCCACATATATATGATTTTTTAAATCTCGGTGAATAAATTCGAATCGATGAATATTTCAATGGTCAGGAACGAGTTTATAATTATCAGAGAGACGACGCATAGTATTGTTAAATCCCCGAAATTTCAGATAACTGGGAGTAATTCGTATTAAAGAGGTAAGTAAACATGGCTTTGAAATAAATATTAAAAAAGTTTTTAAAAATGATTATGTAAAAATTTATTGGGCGAAGGTTGTCATCGACATTCAAAATTCATTCGATCGTCTTTTGACATCGATTATCGAATTACATATATAAAACAGTTTATATACGCTCATGCCCACATGAGGACGCTCCATTCTGGCTGAAGCATTCAATGTAATAGTAAAAAATGAATTTCACAATTCAATCGTAAAAAATTGAATCTACAATTATCAGAGAAAAGCCGCATAATATTGTTAAATCCCCTCCCTCACCCCAAAAATTTCAGGTAACTGGGATTAATTCGTACTAAAGAGGTAAGTAAACATGGCATTGAAATATTTATTAAAAACCTTTTAAACAATGACAATAGATACCAACAGTCCGTCGTAATTGAATTCTCAACAAGAACTAAAATGGTTAAAAATAAATTGAACGTTGATACCGTGCGTCGCTCAACAACGCCACCCATCATAGAGCCGTATCCCGACCTGTGACATGACATTTACAATTCAATAACAATGAATAATCTCACAAATAAATAGTACAATAAAAACAATAAAAAAATACACTGCACAGGCAAAACGCATGAGCTCATCTATCTCTATATTCTCATCCTCCCTTCATCGTCTGCTGATAAAAGAGGAAACAACAATGATGAATTGATAATACAAACAGTCTTATTTCACAGTGCAACTATAATTGCTATTAGCAGTGTTAGACACAGGGACCATAAGGCGATGGTGTACGCTGTCAAGCAGTTAGTAACGAAGCAAACATTCATTATTGATTTCAGTAAATGCCCGTTCAACTCGACATTGCATTTATTACCTTCAATCATCGATGCTAGATCGATCCCCTCACTGTTCAATCTATTATCTTTGGAAGCTACTTGAATTTTATCACCACTGATTTCCCCTGCATTCGAATTCTCGGTATTTTCGGGTTTCTCATGCATCGCTCCGCCCTCAGAGCTGCCATCTCTCGACTTCTGGTCGACACTACCCACTCCCGGCTCACAATGAGCCGCTTCACTCACAGAAACGTGAGGCACTTCCTCACACGTTGGTAAATCAGTCTCTTTACCCGCGTCGTCATCGATCATTTCCCCGATGACTTCGGGTACGTCAGCCCCCAGACCCTCATGTTCTGGCGATCCCCCCGACCCTCCCCCATCGACCTTCGACGCTCTGCTCTCGCTCAGAAGCTTCTCCCACTCCACAAACTCTGTGAGCGAGCTTCTGGGGGTGCCCCTATCCCCCATTTTCACCTTCTCCGACGTCTTCTTGATCAGATTCTCCAGCTCTCGACACAACTCCCTGTACTCCGACGCCTCCTCGTCACCCTTGCTCCCCTCACAAATCCCCGGCTCCTCAAACCCCCCATTGCTCGCTTTCTCCGACCCCCGGGGGATGTGCACCTGCACCTTCCCCTCGCAATTCGTCTTTGGTTTATTCCCGTTGATGTCCACATCGTGCCTCGCCCCGGCCTCCAGAATCCCCGAGACCCTCAGCGGACGATTCAGCTTCACGTACTTCTTGTACCAACAGCTCTGCTTGCTGTCCTTGTTAATAATCCCGTACATGTCAGCTGACAGCGACCTGACCGCCCTCTTCCCCTCGTCCTCCGGTGCAAACGCCGTCTTCGGCAGAAAGTTCGTCCCCCCCGGCGACTGGGACCTCCGCCCGCCGTCTTTCCTCAGACTCCTGAACGCCAGATCGTCCGTCACTACGTCTGGCTCCCTCTTCGGGATGTAGAGGGACCTGTGGGGGTCCCTCTGGGGCACCACGTGGAGGTAGTCACTCTCGGCGGCCCCCGTCACCGGCCCCAGCGGAATGCCGAATGGCGGCTGGGGGTCCGCTATCCTCAGGGTATTGTTCGAGTGACTTATGCTCCGGAAGACGACGTCGTCGCGCGTCAGGTCTGGCGTCCCCCGCCGACTTCGCGGTGTCTCCGTCTCCCGCCAAGACAGACACGGCGAACTCGCCAGATAACTCATCCGCGACATCGAGCCGAAGTTGTCGACCGAGGACGGCCTCTCGGTCTGGTGCATCCGCCTGTACGCCATGTCGTCTTTTAGGCGGGAGTCCGCGTCACCGGCGTCGCGCCACGCCATTTCCCGCGTTATCTCCGTGGACGACGAGGTGTCCGAAATTATTGATCCGTCAACCGCTGTCGTCGCCAGCTTGTCTCGGTACTCCTCCATACTCCGCTGTTCCGCCCTGTCGAGGAGGTCCTCGTCGCTCAAGCGGAGACTGTTGTAGATCGTCTCCAATTCCTCGAGCGCCTCCTCGAGATTCTTCGAGTGGCGCCTCCGCTCGTCCGCCATGTTGCGCGCGTTTTTCGAGAGAACATGGCGGGGCTGGAGCTCCGGAACTATCGGCTCCTCGATCCGCCGGGACCAGACGTCTTGTCCGGGTGACGCAGATCGATTTCGCGGGTTTACGGCGGGGTTTTCATTTCGGTCGAGAGAATTGCTGTTGACGTCGCGGGTATTCTCCATGTCCGAGTGCTGGAGGGAGTACCGCATCGTTGTGGGGTACAGTCTTAGTTTGAAGGCCCTCGGGGGCGGCGCAGGTGGCGTCACGTTATTCGATGATTCGTATTTGTAATCATGGCACATGGTATCGATGATTCGCGGGTAAGGCGGGAGGTAGCTGTCACTGCCGAATGGGGAGTGGCTGTTCGTGCAGGACTGGGATTTTTGGGGCGCGTGGGGGACGACGGGGGAGCCGGACGGCCGGAGGATGTCTGAGGGGTATTTCAGCTGATTTTTCAGCGGATTCTGGTCGTTTGTCAGAATTCGCTTCATGTAGCGCTCCGTTCGCGCGCCGCGGGTCCGCTTTTGATTGAGGGAGTCGTATTTCGAGCTGTGGAGGCTGTCCTCGCTGTGGATGCGGAGGAGGGACAGGTTCGAGGGGAACTCCTCGTCGGAGCTGCTCGCGGATTTGTATTTTTCGCGTTTCGCCTGGATCCGGAGCTTCAAGCGGTTCTTTCTACCGTTTTTACCCGGGGGCTCTGGTGTCGGGGGACTCGGCGGACGCGCGACTTCACGGACATCCGCTGAGTCTTGAGAACCACTGCTCAACGCGATTACCGAATTCTTTTGGGTCTCCTGCGGGCAGGGGATCGCGGTGGCGACTGACGGAGGAGTTTGCGTCGAGGTGTCGGTTATTCGGGAATCCTTCGATTTTCTTCGTAAGAAATTTCCGAACGACCACTTTCGCCCCTTCTTTCGCTCGGGGGACGCGGGCCGCGCATTCCTGTTGTGGTTCTTTGGAAAGTCCACGTCCGCCTTCAGGGGACACCTTCCTCTAGTCCGCCACTTTTCCATGTTATCGCGGCCTCTCTTGTCTGGAATAACAATCTCAATTAGCGATTGTGAGGTAATGACGGGCTAGGTGATACCGAGACTTGATATTTCAGTCACAGTGGCGTCTGAATTCTCGTTGATGCGAGGTTGAATTCAATTTCAAATGAAAATATGCTTGGAATTTCTTGTTCAGCTTGAAAATTCTAGATTATTGGGTTCTTCGTGTTGAATTCTTCATTCGAGTATATAATATTGTTGATTCAAGTAGATTTTATACTCGAATGGGGGATGGGTGTTTCAATTCGAGGATGATTATTTCGTATCAGCTCGGGTTTTAACCAGTGCTCTCAAGTGTAATATAAGGGGTAGACACTAAGGGTGAGGGTATAAGGGTCAAAAAGTGGAGGTTAAAAAGTGAGGGTCGGAATATTTGAGTGAAAAACTGAGGGCCTGAATGTAAAGGTGAAGGAATGAGGGTCAGAATGTTAGGGTTAAAAAAAGAGGGTCAGAATATAAAAGTCAAAAAAGTGGGTGTCAGGGAATGAGGGTCATATAAGGGCTAAAAAAAGGTGATCAAGCATAATATATGACTTATATTTAGACCCTAATATTCTGACCCTCATTTTTTAACCTACACCTTTTGACCCTTATATTCTGACACTTAGTGCCTGACCCTTATATTACACTTAAGGGTGCCAAGTGAATTTGGCGATGACCTGGAAAATTGACATTCACCAACAAAGTTATAATTTTTTTAATTAATAGTATTAGACAGATGGTGAACATCGGTGACAATTTTAAAATTTTAGAACTTATGGATATCGAGAAATTAAATAAACAAAATCAGTCTTATACACGGCCTCTTATGGAGTTTTGATTAAATTGAACGTTTCAACCCCCTAGGAACTCAAGAAAAATTTGAAAAAATTTGAAGATATGGGGAATGATGTGTTCAATGTGATGGCGACAAAAAACAATGGGGTACCGGGGTGAATAAGAGAGATATTTCAACCCGCCGTACCCATTTGATCCCATGCTTTCTCGAGGTTCGTCACGCGAAATAGAGGATTTTCCACATTTATTTTCTCGATGTCTAGTTCCGGTTGCAGGTTTGAAATTTCGTCGGATGGAT